CTATTAAACGTTATATTACTACTTAGATTAGACTTAAAAGTCCTTATTTAAAGACTAGTAACTATATATAGGATCCTAGTAGCTTTAATATACTACTTTAAGAGGATATTAACTTACGCTTTAGTGTTAAGGATTACTAAGATTAGAGGGCCTTTATTTAACTAATTAACACTTAATATTTAGACCTCTAGTTATAAGTATATATTTAAAATAACTAAGGTTAGTAGTTTTACTATTAGCTTTACGCCTTATACTTTATTAATTTTAATAGATATTAAGGACTTACTATTAATTAAGGTATTATACTTATTTAGTAGTTCTTTAATATCTTTTTACTACTAAGCTATTTCTTTAAGATTAATTAAGGACTTTAGGGCCTTAATCTAAACACCTTTAGTGTTAATATACCCTTAATTACATAAGGTAGCGCTTATAGCTATATTAAACTCTAGCTATATTTTTTAGAGAAGTCTAATAAAAAGTAAGACTAAAGCGTCTAGCTTTTTATTAGCTAACTTCTTTACCTCTTAATATAGATTAAGGCCTTAAGCTTACTTAGAGGCTATAACTTCTTTTAATTTATTAAGCTCCTTTTTACTTATATATAGTTTATAGTCTTTAAAGGTAGTTATAGGTTCTATAGGCTTTAGTTATAGTAAAATAGTTATATTTATCTTAGCTAGTAAGAACACCTAATCTAAATTATAATTATAGTTACTATTATTATTAACCTTTATAATCTTTTTATTCTTTAAGGTAAATAAAATAGTTTTTTTTTTTAATTAGCTAAGGCCTAACTAACTTTTTTATACTATATACCTTTTATAATTTATCCTAAGTACGTTTATTCTAGCTAGTATAGTTCTTAGGAGGCCTACTTTATTATACTATAAAGACGTTAGCGTATTCTTACTCTTTATCCTCTAGTTATACTATATATAAGCACCTAATATTACTTATTAGTACTATAAATAGTAGATCTAAGGTACTTTACTAAAGGTATTTAACTTATTAATCTAGAATACGCTTTACTAAGAACTTATAGTCTTTATTAGTAAATATATTTATAATATAAAAAAGTAAGGTAACTTAATTAGTAACTTTACTTTATTAGCTATCTTTAATTACTAAGAATAGTATATTATTTATTAGACTTTACTTATCTTACTTCTTATAATACTAGGCTTCTTAGACTAAGATTATAAGATATATATCCTTATTAAAGGTATATTACTAATAATCTTAAATAAATTAATACTTATTAGACTAGTAGTACTAATATTTATCCTTTAGTCTTAATACTTTTACTTAATCTAGTTATACTATACTAACCTTAAACACTTAAGTAGACCCCTTTAGCTAGACTAAATTCTAATATATCTTAAGTTTACTTATACTATTAGTAAGGTCTTAATTAGTATTACTTAGGACTAGTTAGTTAACCTAGACGTTAATAGTTAATTATCTTAGTTACTAGTAATTTTAGTACTAATAAGTAAAGTTTTTTTAGGACTATTACTAAGATAGTTAAATTATAAAGGTACTATTAGCCTTACTATTAGTAAATAAGGGCCTATACTCCTTTTTATAAGTAATTATATTAAGAAGTCTGCTTTTAAATATTATATACTTTATTAATTAAATAAAGGCTAAAAGGCTAATCTTTATCTTATCTACTGCTTTTTTTATAGTCTTAGCGTTAAATTACTTATATATAGCCTTAATTAAGCTCTTATTAAAGATTATATAGAGGCCTTATTACTTTAACTTAGTAATTATATTATTAATACTAGTAAAAAGTGCTTTAGCTAAGTATAAGTCTAAGCTAGAGATTAGTAATCCCCTTATAACCTACTTAATTTATTCCTCCTTATTAAGAAATTAATTAGCGTTTTATTTTTTATACTTCTTTAAAAGATAGGCCTTAGCCTAGACCTAAGGTAAGTCCTTAATTATATTTTTTACTAAAGTTTAATAATCTCCTTTTATATAGTAGGCTACTAGTATACCCCTTAATTAGTCTAACACTTATATAAGCTTATATTAATTTTTATATTTTTTTAAAAAGTTAATAATATTATCTTTAGAAAAAACTATAGTACTACTTTAGCCTAAAAAAGGTATCTTAAAAAAGTTTAAGTTCTCTTTTTAGTTAAGGACTATATCTACTATTACTTATAAGACCTTAGGCTAAATCTAAGTAGTAAGAGTAGTAAGGAGGGTATTTATAAAAAGGTTAAGTTCCTAAGAGATAAAGAGAGGTTTTTATTTCTAATTAAGTACTATAAGTAAAAGATTAGAAGTATTACTACTTTTTTTATCCTTAGAAAGATTAATCCCTTTTAGCTCTTAATACTTAGTAAAGGCTAGTCCTCTTACTAAAGTAATATTTAAGGTTAAGCCTAAGGTATACTTAGGAGTAGCCTCTTAAGAAAAAGTAGTATAGTTATTACTTATTATATTAGTTAGTAGTTATTTAGTATATAACTTATTAATTAAGTTAAAAATTCTAATAATTATATTTTAATTTAAACTTTTTAAGATCTTCTTTAAAAGTACTAAAGTAACTTATTTTATTATCTAAACTAAGGCTATACCCCTAATTAGTAAAATCTATATAATTATCTTTAGCCCTTACTAAACTTATTAACTAATTTTTAATAAAAAAGGTCTTTTAATTTATTATAATTTTTTTATAAAGTTATAATAAGTATTTAAATTAGTATACTTATAAGACGTCTTAAGGCTAATAGCTTTATATCTCTAGATTAGGTATTTCTTAAGGCACTATCTTATATTAATTAACTATAAGTAACTAATTATAACAGACTACCTTACTTATAAGGACCTTTAAGAGCTCTATTTAGCTTCTTTAGTATTTTTTATAAATCTATCTTTAGTTAGCGTTATAAATTAGTAACCTTTAAGGTTCTAACTTATTATCTTAGTCTTATAATTAGGTAATTTTTCTTATCTAAGTTACTAATCTATTACTTTATTATCTTATTATCTTTTTAGGGTTTTCCTTATTCTCTTAATTAGTTTACTTCTTATAATCTTATTATCTTATTATTATTACTTTTTATAATTACTTACTTAGTGTGCTTAACTAGATATCTCTTTAATCTACTTAAACCTATAGTTAATTTTCTAGAAGGGGAGACTATTAAAAGCGTATAAGGTATAAAGGACTCTTATAGTATAGTAACTATATAGAACACTATAACTACTAAAAGTAACATAAGATTCCTTACTAATTAGTATATAAATTATATTAATCTATTTAAAATTAATATTAATTATAAGTGTTAAACTATAGGATTAATTATAATTATACCTTAATTAGGTAGGTAATTACTCCTAATTATCTTATGTTATTATAATTAAAAGTAAATTATAGAGAGGCTCTAGTTTAATTAGAAGGTAGGTATAAGTATAAAGGATAAATTCTATATATCTATCTTTAAACCTATTAATGCTGGCTTATATCTTTGTACTTAATTAGGATTAGGATCTTCCGATTGGCCTGCATACTGTCTCGCTCTAGGCTGATCGCCCTACCCTGCTCCAATAAGAACGAAATTCTATAGTGTAGAACGTTTCTAAGGGGATAGGGACTATATGAGCCTTAGGTGGTCGGATTGCCTGTTCTTTATGTCCTTGCTGTTATGAGGTTTTAGAACTTGAAACTTAGTATAATAAGGGGGATTACTAGCGGTGGTAGGACTGTAGGAAGGTGTTGGGGGTTTACATCAAGATGGCATATCTGGCATAGCGTTTGCTCCTGACCCTACTACCACTATGTAGGAGGAGCGCCAGGATGGACGATGTATCTCTTTTCCTAATGATGTTTACCTCCCTGCCCCCCCCCCCCCCCCCACCTTAACTGGTAGACCCCCTCGACCTAACGTTAGAGCTGATCGGACGTCTGCCTACATAGGTCCCTAGGAACGCCAGCTGCCCCCCCTGGCAGCTAGTTGACAGTCCTATGGGCTTGCATGAGTAACGGCGAACCCCTGCTCTTCTATCGACTAGATGCTGTGTAGCTGGCTGTTAGTGAATGAGTTCATGCTGCCGAGAGAGGTAACAAAGCCCCCCCCCGTGGACCAGTCAACGGCGAGGAGGAACCTAGTAATCTCCCCTGCCCCCCACATAGCCATCCAGTATTCTATGCAGTTAGGAATGTCCCAACCTGTAATACTAGGGATAGCATCGATCTCTACTGGCACATATTTCTGAGGAACTGGCTGTTCATGTTAGAGAATAGGCCTAGGATATTGGGGTTCTAACAGGCGACCTCGCGTAATGACCGCTTGCTCTGATTATAGATGCTATTATATGTGACTATATGTATATTAGTAGGAAGATGGTATTGCGGCAAGACGGGCCTAGTAGACGGCTAGGTAGACGGCATGTACAAGAGACCTAGGACACTAAGACGGCTATTAGGGGGAGCACAGAGAGGCGTATGATTATTATCTTGGTGTACGGAGTAAGTGGTTGTGTATCAGAAGTTGTGCTGGCTGGGGGAGACGTGGAAGAGAGGAGCTCGGTGTAATAGAGATGGGGATCTGGCTGCCTAGACGTTTATCATGTCAACAACGTGGAGCATGTACGCTGTCGCTCTCCACTCTTTAGAATGGCCTGGTTTGTGTCCTTGACAGGGGTATAGGCCTTGGGCCACTCAATTAGAAGATGGTTCCTTGTGAACCACATACGGCCATCTAGTTCCTAGTTGCCTATATACTATGGCTGTGCCACAGGTGAGACTTCCGTTCAACTAGTACGTACCACCCAAAAGGACAGTATTAAACAGCTCTGTTACCTATTAAGCTTGAAATTAGGTCCTCTCCGGTATCAACCTCATCCGACCTCACCAGGACAACAAGAACAAAGGACGGAGTAATGAGGACATTATACTCTTGTTTGTTACGCCCTGACTCTGCTTCTCTGACACTTTGTCCTTACTGTGAATATATTAATAGTGGTGTATAGGAAATATGAAGACTTCCGTGAGGAATCTGCTTCTACTCAGCTATGCCGCCACAGCCTACGTAGCGGCTGCGCCGGGCTCAGGAGATGCACGTGCCGCTGCTATCTGTGGAGACCTCGGCGTCCTGAGCATTGAGGATGGCCAGCTCCCGGAGGGTGTGTCCCGCGCCGACTTGCGTATGTGCGCTGGGCATCCGAATGGCAGAACGCGTGTTCTCGATCCCGAACAGGGAGCATCGCTAGCTCCTATGGGGGGTGATGCATAGGGGGTTGTGCCTTGTGCCAATGAAACCACCCCCCTCTCTTCAGGTCTCCAGCTTGCCGAACAGTCTTGCTACTACGATGCACCTTATGGCTGCTCCATTGGTTACTGCTGGAAGGTCTGTGGGGATGCTGGTGATGGCAGATGGTGTTGGACTGCTACGAATAGCGGGGCTGGGTCTTGGAACAATGTTCGAGCTACGCTGATCGTGGAACGAACTCGTTTACCTAGGCCTGCGGCAAAGGCTGCGTCAAGCCTGATCAATAGGGCTGTAGCTGTTGAATGTGTTAGGAGTGGTGGAAATTAGGGTTATTCATATACTAGTAGCCCTGGTCACTTGGATGATGCAGCTATATTTATCTAAAATCATCTCTACATTTTGTCTCCTTGTTATTAGCTACTGGCTGTACACCACAATACACGTAATACTACACCTATCCTCGGTATTACTACTGTTAACAGGCCTTTAAGCCTGTAATAGATGTCTTTGTTTCTAACTTAGACGTTTAAGCATAAGCCTATCTAGGTTTTAGAGTTCTTAGTTGGTTCTAGCACTGAGGTTGGCACTTTGGTTACGCCGCTTGATGATAAGGCCTTTCTGTCTTCTGGCCCCCACACTCCATCCTAATTCCCCCAGCTTTTGTCCTTCATATAGTACGCTAATGTGTGCTCTGAGGATAGCCGCCTTCTGCTGGTTACAAGACAATCCTTGAGATACGTTACTTCGCCCTGAGGCACAGAGGGTGACGGCAGGGTAAGGTAGAGTGCTCTCGCCTATAGGATATCCCTTCTTTCTTCCTTTATCCCTTCTTTCCTCCTAGAGTCAGTCTATTGCTTCCTCCCTTCTTCCCCCCTCTTATTAGATGGCGTATAATCTCGTGGTTAACAGACATGGTCACGAAATGTTAGCAAGGGGATAAAGCAACCTCCTTTACACAAGAATGGTGGCAACATTCTCCACGCACTGTTAGGAACACACTGTAGATATCTAGGTTACAGGGCTCTAGAAGGATATACTTCTCAACAGTTGAGCTGCATGGAGTATTATTTTCACAGGTGGGCGTTTTAGAAGTAAAGGAGGATCTGAAGTCGTTTGATAAGTTTACACGCTTTGAGGAGTGTTCATCAATCATTTCATAGTTATCTGTGCTTCTCCTCTGCTATAGCTTACAGCGTCTGTGGTTGCTCGACTCCTAGGCCTTTAATACGTGACTTTCTTCTTAGATGCTACCCAAGTAGCAACTCTAAAAGATAAATCTAGAAGTAGCTATACAGCTATACATTTTGGAACTAGAAAGAAGGCATTTCTAATCACTATCAATAACCAAACGTTTCAATTCTATCTGCTCTGAATCCTGGGTCCGGCAGCTGTTGACGCCCCCTAATCCCAGGAGAAAGCTTCTCGAATCTCCCTTCTAAACCCCAGGAACCATGAGCTACCCCCAGCTCTTGGTCCTGAGACCCCTGAATCGAGCCAGTGGCCATCGTGACGCGCTACCTGTGTGAAGGGCGCAACCGAGAAGAATGTTTGTAGAAGGCCTGGTTTCCCCATCTTCGCATGGCGGAATGGGCCTTTTTGGATATCTCGACTGATAAAGTAACGAGAAGCCTAGGGTGATAGCAATGAGAGCAGACGTGATGCCATTTCACATAACCCCGTCTTACTCCGTCAAGTCAATCACCCCCACCTCCCGGGTCCCAAACTCCCCCTTCAACCTCGCATCCAACCAGCCCGCGTACCCGGCAAACATGCCCACCCCTTTCCACAGCTCGCAGAACCCTCTCATGGCCTCCATCCTCTCCCGCTCCACCGATCTCCGCCTGCCCTCCCGCCACGTCCCGGCCCGGCAGCCCTCGACGACACCCATCTCGCCGAGGCCCCAGACCACCTTGGCCTCGCACACGGGACAGAGGTATGGTGGCTGCCGCGCGTCCTCCCCCAGTCCGCCGGTGCCCTGCATAACGCACGCGTAGTACACGCAGTGGCCCATCCCGAGGCAGTGGCCGATTTCGTGCGCCGCCGTCCTCGCGACCCGGGCGAACCACAGTCCCTCCAGGTCCTCGTCCCGGGAGCGCTTCGGGGCCGACCTCGGGACCAGGACAGCCCTCGACGCCTTGACGGCGGCACCCATCGCCGTGTCCTTCAACTGCTTCAGACCGATCGTGATCTCCCCACCATCATCGGCACCACCACCCTTGCCCCTCATCTTCGTCCCCTTCTCCGTCTCAGCCCCTTCGCCCTCGTCGCCCTCGGCGGCGTCCTGCTCCTCCCACCACTCCACCGCCTCAACCACGAACCTCTCGCAGTGCGACGCCGGCCACATGTGCTCCCTCTCCACCCCCTGGACATCGTCCAGCAGCGGCCGGTACCGGAACCCCGAAACCACGCAGATCCGGCTCCCGCCAAACGCCCGCCCGCAGCAGAAGTCGTCGTCGTCGTCCTCGTACAGGTCCTGTGCGACGACCATGCAAGCGGCGTACGCATCCGCCGGCAGCACTGCCGCCAGCGCGTCGAGCAGGTCGCACAGGTTGAGCTGCATCCGCGCCAGGCCGTCCGGCACTGGCCTCGTTCGGATCCCCACCACCGACCCATCCCCCGTCTCCAGGCCGACCATCGCGGTCCCCTTTAGCCTCCTGCTTGCAAGTGATCGCTTCCCGCCGTTCTCCCACTTGACGAACCGTAGCGCCGCCGGGAGACGCTTCACCGGTAGTGGGTGGTAGAACGCGGCAATGTACCCCCTCACGTGCTCGACCTCGGGGAGCTCCAGCCTGTCCGCCGCGATGGGCGGCGTCTTCGCCCCGGAGAGGTCGGGAGAGGCCCACGCCGCCATAAACGCCGCGTCCTCGCCGATGGCGGGGACGTCGGCAACGTACAGCGTTTTCCTCTCCGGCTTGATCGGATTCCGCCAGCGCCCCTTTGCCCACGACCGCGCGCTCTGCGGCGCACTTCGCGGGTCTAGCGCGAGGTCGTCGTCGGGGAGGACGAGCGGGCCCGGGAACGTGGAGGGGTCCGGCGCGGAGTCGACGGCGTCGGTCGTTGCGGAGTTGGCGGCGGCCCTGACGGACGGCTCCATCGCTGCGATGCGTTTCCCGGCCGGGACGCGGACGAAGCCGGCTTTCCTGCGGCCGTACTCGGAAGCTTCGACGAGGATGGAGTCGTGGGGACAACCCTTTGGACGTCCGCGGGGCGCCATCTTTGCAGATGAACTTAGTCAAGGGAGACGGTGGCGCAGAACGTATTCTCAAGGTCTTGGGGGACGATGGCTAGGTATTCTATAGACTTCCTCTTATCTCATCATCGCTCTCATCGACGAAGTTGCTGCTGTGCCGGGGAAATCCTAAGTCATGTCTAGAGTAACTGCATCAAGGTCGCCGTGAAAGTCTGTGAAACTCTTGACTCTATACGCAACGCCGCTCAATGCGGACATTGACGTCGTCGAACAACCCCGCAACTGCTGCCTAACAACAGAAACCATCTTACACTACACTAGCCATATTCAGCCTCATGTGCTCCAGACAGCCGAGGCCCCCCCCCCCCATCCCTTCACTTGATGCCATCATTATTGACGATCTATCGAGCAGATGGTGTCACGCGTCGTTCGATACAGCAGCGTCGTTGGCCATACCGCAAGCTAAAGACGCTCTCTCTCTCGCCACAGCTCAGAGCCATGCACCCTTTGACCTCTCACAACCACCGAGAGTTGCCCCTCCTAGCATAAGCCAAACATCAACAAAAAGAAGACAGCAAACCTCGGGGGAGGGGAACACCAACCCGGGAAGCCTTTTGCGTCAATCGATCCGAGGGTACGCGGTAAACCACTTCTCACAGGCCATGACAGGGTGAGTCCTTGCTCTCCATCCTCGTCACGGGCATCAGTCCACCGTGGCTTCTCAGGAGGACACAACGAGGCGCCGCAACTGCGTCGCCCGCTCGGGAACCGCTTGACTCCCTTTCCCTCACATCAACCTTTCAACCGCAGCACTACTCACCGGTGACGGCGTCATCGACGTCCCGGCGACCTCGGGAAACCGGCTATCTCTCTCCAAATCCTCCCGCTTGGCCCGGGGGTCTGGATCCTACGCCTTGCCTTATTATAGTCGGGCATCGCTCCCGCTCTGGACGCCTCACCGTTGTTGACTGGGGAAGTCTGACGCTCGCGTGGCGCTTGCGCTCGCGCAAACAAAGAAACAGACGCCTGGTCTAGACCCTCCTTCAGGAGACGATATACCCGCACATACGCAAACGCACCCTCGCCCCCCAAAAAAGACACATGGGCCGTTGACGCCGCCCGCGGCACCTGCAGCCTGCGTCCCCGCCTGCGACAGACGTCCGTCCCATCGGGACGGACTCAAGGGCTTTGTCGTGAGTTCGCCCGGGCTTGGGCCATGGCCAACCGCGGGAAGAAGACTCTCGAACGCGTTGGTCGCGATGACATGCAGGTGAAGTTGAACGGACTGGCCTGGAATGACTGGCCAAAAGACATGTGAAAGGCCAGGCTCAACATCATCACCGTCATCGCCGTCAGCACCTGTAGCCCTCTCAACCCTCGCGCCCGCCATCCGCTTCCCGCACTTTCCGGAGACCCCCGAACGTGCTTCAGCCCTCCCCTCCCGCGGCCACCCGCGCGGTGATCTGCGGTCGAGGCAACGCCACATGAGAGGGGGACAAGAAAACAAAAAGAAAGGCAGTCTGAATGCTCAGCAAATTTTCCAACCTCGTCACTTTCACCCGCGTCTAGGCCCTTTTTTCTTTTAGCATATCGCGAGTAACGACGGTTGCAAAGCTCTTACGCGCCGCGCGTTGCAAGAAACATGAGGAAACAAAGCAAGAATCATCAACTCACAAGGATTCGAGCGTCACAAGATGCCGCCGTGTAAGACTAGCTAGTCACACAATCCAGATCGAGGGGTTCACCCAGGGGAAGGGGGGTAATGACTACGTCCGTTAGCGGTGGTCGAGGAGCGAACCTGCAGATTTCCTCCGAGGGGTGAAACAAGCCCGTCTTCCCCCGGAATCCCACCTCGGCGAACCGCGGGGGCCACGACGCTGACCGAGCGCCTCTTATACACTCACACGTACGCCCCCTTCCCCCCATGGGTGAGGATTACAAACATGGCCAAACGACGGACTGCCAAGATGTGCTTTTTTGTTTTTATTTTTTACTCACTGTGCTTTCCATTCCTTTCCTCCCACCCCCCCACCTTCACATGAGAGTAAGACAGGGCGCATCGTGTTGTCAAGGCTCAAGAATCGCAGGGTCCGAATGTGCACCCGCCCTTCTCTCTCCGAAAGAGACCCTGCAGTTGACAACGGACGGGACAACTCGACGTAAGATCGACCTCCCGTGCCTGGCCATTGCCTGCCGGCCACACACGTGGCGCGATGGTAACGGGCGCGGCAGCCTTGTCCAGAAGAGTGACAGAGAGGGGAGAGAGAGAGAGAAAGATAAAGAGAAATAAAGATCGCCGTTGTTGGGCGGCAAGCTGTGCGCTGGCCGTCCGCGTGGCCTGACAAAAAGGGACGTTGGGTATAGGTCCTCCTCGTCTCCCCCCCCTGTGGCTACATTGCGCGGTGAGATGGCGACGCCTCATCCGCATCTAAAAAGTCTGCCGAATGGTGCCCCTGCTTGGGGTGAGAAGCATACGTCCCGTCATCGCGCACAATCGCCTCGCTGTTGAGCGGTCTCCGGGACCCTGACTTTGTGATCGAGACTGGCCACGACCAGATATTTTTTTAAATAGAAAAGAAGAAGAAGAAAAGAACCCCCATATTTCCTGAACCAACTGGAGAGAGAGCCCGACGCGCATCGCATACAGTTGAGCAAAACGACATCTCCCTCCTCCCATCAGTGCGCGCGCCCCGGTTTACCCCGAGATTTTTGCAGTGATCGACCCCGGGATTCGACTGCAGTTCCGGAGGCCCTGGCGGCCAAAGAAAAAGAGTAAAAAAAATAAAATAAAACAAGTATTCACTAAGAAGGAAAGCAAGGTCCAAGCTGCCACGAGGAGCCAGGCCTTGGTTGGCTCCGTATCTTCCGTGTAAGTCTCTCTCGCCCACTCGCTCGTTCGCGACTTCGCGCGCCGGTCCCTCCCCCAATTCAACGGTCGCCGCCCTGATTGGTCGGTAGCTCATGTATCTCGCGCGGGCAGGCAAGGAAGGGCTGGCTGGCACCGTGGCAAATGGGAGTACTTGTAGTCAGTTAGGTTCGAATCCTATCGGCGTCACATTTTGGGGTTGTTGGCGCAACTACTTCTTTGGCACATGCTTTTTCGACGTTCAAACGTTGAGCTTCTTAGGCTGCCGTGTAACAGTCCGAGTCGGGGGGGGGGGGATGGGGGTTGAGGACGAGGCTTTCTCTGTGGTGACATTTTCAGAAATGAGAGTGAGACTCTATCGGACGATTGAACTCTTCCCGCCTTCCCAATCATTGAGGGCGCCAGGGTGCGAGATGCCAGGAACAGGCCATGTCTTGCTTGAGTGATCCCACCCAATGTTCTATTGTTATTAAGGTGACCAGACTTACAGCCCGCTTTTGCCAGATATGGGTCTGACGTGCACCATGAATACTAAGTCATCGTGACACAACGTTGGCGCCCGGTCTATTATGTATCCCGCACCTCATTTAGAGGGGGGGGGGGAGTGGGAGAGACATCGTGCGACGGCGGCTTCTCCCCCCCATGCCGCACCATGAAGACCGGGCCCGAACCGCAAGCGAAACAGCCACGGGAGCATGGCAGCCCCAAGCGGCCCTGAAGAAACAGACGTCCGAGCCTCCTCGACCAGTTCGTCCGATTCTGGATCCCCAAAGGAGGGGGGGGGGCGAGACCAGAGGCCAACCAAGTCTAAGACGAACCTGGCCTGTCTCATTCAGCGGGAGAGGCGCAGTATGGCGCCCGCCCGTGGAAGATCGTCGGCGGCACGCCATCCCATCAACCTCTTCCGCTCTCGTATTTGCCGGCATCAGGGCGGGGGCCAGTCTGGTGACAAGAGAATCCCCAACGGGAATCAGAAGGGCGTCAATATCACGCGATACCGGGCCTTCATCCAGGTGCCGGCCAAGGAAACCTTACTCACCCCAACCCCTACCTCCCCTCCCCATTCCGGAAGATTGCGGAACAGACAGCAGCCCTGCAGTCGCGACGGAATAAGGCTTGCGTCGGGCATACGCCGCAATCTCCAAGCCACCGGTTCCATCCTCGAGCCGCCCTCACTCCAAAGATAGACACAAGTGATGGCTGTCGGGACAGTACTCCGTAGAAAGATTTTCATTTATTTATTATTATTATTCTACTTTACAGAAAAAAGACAGAAAAAATACACTACAGCCTCCTTTGTGATCCGATAGCCGGATGAATAACCAAGCGTCGTAATGCGGCTAGACAGTGACGGCCAGTGACTTTTGGTAAGGGCCCCCTCGATGAAGCACCACAACGCATGGATGGCCCGTTTTTTTATTCTTCTTTTCTTTTTCCTTTACCCCTCCAATGGATCACGATCTGACCAACTATCAAATGCCGCAGAATTGAAGAATTTTTTTTTTTTCTTCGTTCAATTCAGTCCCCGTTCTCCCGTAAGCCACCGAAGTCCAGCCCGGTCGAAAAAGACGCCGGCCGTCCAGGTGTCCGTATGCAGAGAGACCCAAAATGTTCCCACCCCGGCGCAGGATGCCCATGTCCCCCTCCCCCGTTCGGCCGCAAGCACATGGATGGAGAGAGCGCGTAATGGGGGCCGTCCGTCTGTGCTTGGTCAACTTCGTGCTCGTGAGCAACACAACGCACATGTATGCATGTACACTTCGTCAGGGTTATGAATGTTGGCTTATCACGAGCCCTACGTACGCGTATAGCAAAAACAGGTATACTCTGTTCCTACTAGATATATCCAGTAGGAGTGAGGACTTTTATTGTATATCTTGATAGCGTCAATCTGGAGATACAGCCGAGATCGTACGTACCTCTCTAATGGTATCCTTCCTCGGGACCTCAAAGAAAGTAACCTTTGTGGTTTGCCCGGTCGACTCACCACGCCAACATTTGGGACCCCGGTGGAGGTCTATGTAGGGACGGGGCCCTCGATGCAACCCGCGTTGCCCAGGGCTTGGGAACCGAGGAGGGCTGATGCCATGAGGCTGTGGAAGGAGCAGACTAGGTGGATTTAAAAAGGGGTTTTTGCTGCTGCCAATTGGCGTTTTGGAACTTGGAATCAACATCATTAATTATCAACGGATCAACGGATCAATCATCAATCATCAATCAACCAATCAATCAATCAATCATTCAATTCTGTTGCCCCAGCTGCGTGGCCTATTCCTGAGGCTTCCCAACACGGGCAAAAAAAAAAAAAAAAAAAAAAAAGGGTTTCCACCGGAGCCCTATGGCGTGCCGCCGCGCCACCCACCGGGATGGTCACCCATCCTGCCCGGCCGCCCCTCGCTTCCGTTCCTCTCTGCACCCTGGGGCGAATGGACGGCGGCGGCGGCCCTCCATCAGGGCACGACTAATGCAGGGACGCAAGACATTCTCTTCTGCGGGAGGGGAAAAACCACTTCGGCACGGGATGGGAGGGGGGGCGAGACGCACCGATGGGATTTGCAGAAATGATAGGGAAGTTTTCAGTCAACCTCAACAAGCGAGAAATGAAAAGAAGAGGGGTTTTTTTTTTTTAAAAAAAAATTTGACGTTGTATGCCATCGTCAGCCACGAAGTTCAACGGCCCTCGGCTCGCTGCAAAGAGACTTCGTGGGGGGGGAATCATCGGGCAGCCCTCCCCCCCCTCCTAGCAGCCGCCTCGGCCGGCCTCGGGAGCCATGAACGCACGACATCGGGTTCGACGCTGGCGGAGCGCTCAAGTACCAAGGAACACAGATCGCTCTAGCAGTCTGGACTGGCTGTTGGGGCACGATTGTCGTTCCCTAGACTTTTTGTGCGCTGATTGCCTGGTACTTGGACCGCGGGTCATGTTGTCATGATGATGGCTATCCAAAGAAACCGACACCAGATTCAGATTCAGAGACAGGGTGAAAAGACCAGCGAAGTAAGAAACCCCCACCCCCCAAAACAGAAAAAAACTCATAGGGGTGGAGCGGGGGATCCGCAAAGGTGAGGAGAGAGCCCCATCCATGTTGGATGGTGATCATACTATGATCACATCTCACCAGATCAGTCGACACGCGATGCCGTCAGATTCAAGAGGTGGGGGTGAGAGGGTTTGTTGAATGCGCCCTTGATACCCTCCCAGGGGGGGGGGGGCTGTGCTTCCGGCTGTTCCAAGTGATGGCCAGCCAGTTAGTTCCCTGGCCTCGAGGCACGGCAAATGAACAAAGTTAGCTACCTAGGCCATTGTCAAATCTCCAGCTGCATGTCAACATGCCTGTCTGTCTCTGTTCCGTCACATAAAAAAAGCAGGATTCATATCCTTCCCCCACCCCGCACGCCAGACTCTCCGCGGGTGATATGGTTCGATAGAGAGACAACGGTATATTCGATATGTAACGATGCCGATGCAGAACTAGGGAGAAAACCCTCTTCCGGATGTTGGGACTTGGTTTTTTTTTTTTTTGGTCTTCGGCGTGAGCCTCCCAAAACAGCTTGGTAGATGCATACTTGGCATGCGTGTGTCTAACTAAGCAAGAAGATGCCGGCCGGCCGGTGATTGGGGGAGGAGGAGGAGAAGAAGAAGCCCACGCTCTTGCAGCTTACGCCTCTGCACAGTCAAATGCCGCGCCTGTCGGCAACGGGTTTTTCGGTTCTAAGCAATGATGCTAAGACATGCGGTCTAGAGATGCGTGGCGGCCCCCCCCCGGGCCACCTACTAGGCAAATAGAAAAGTCTGTAAGTGGAGAGTGATCCAAAGATGGCATGCAGTAGCAGCACCGTTGCGGGCACGTGTGGGTGAAGGGAAAGAAGCAACGCCGACATTGTTGGGGGAGTAGAAGAATCGTCTACATAGTGCGAAAGTAGTGTAGGAGAAGAACCTTGGTCCCCCGGTTGGCCGGCACGAATGCAAAAAAATGGAGGCCACAATGACGCATTTCTCGACGCCCCGTTTTGCGCCACGCTACACTTGGGCTCTGGCAGGCCGGCGTGAACAAGACCGGATGCAGCAGAGGGAAAAGGATGAGTCAACAGAACGAGAGCTTTTTTTTTTTTTTTCTTTTTTTCTTTTGATTTCTCTGACATGCTTGGCCAAAACCCTTTTCCCCGCATTCCACACGCTGTCTTTGTGGGAGGGCCAGAAAAAAACAAGGAATCGGCATGGCTGGCTACATAGATGTCCGGATGCGGCGTCATCTCTCGAGCATGGCACAAGGAATGTTGGCGTGACCGGAAATCCGGGGTGGGGGTAGAAGTGAAGATTGTCTCGGGCAGAAAAACCCTACGAGTTGGATAGAATAGAGGAGCCTTTGACATGGACTTGAAACTCTCAATCCCTGACCATGCCCGCCGCCGCGGCGCGAGGTGGTTATCTTCTTTCCCGAGAGCCTGGTGTACATACGTAGTATCACGTACGTACATACAGTACCTAGCTCAACGGCGACAATGCCGACAGGTCGAGCCGGCGGCTGCAACACACACGAGGACGGGGCAAGTGACATTGGCGCGCAAGAGTTTTTCTCTAAGCGGCGCGGAGCAACTCTAACCCACACTCTACGGAGGCTCAAGCAGACTTTTTGTTTTGTTTTTTTTGACAGCATTCTCCCATCGACGAAACAACGTTTTCAGGAACAGGAAGGGATCGGCGCGGTCAAAGTTGGAAAAAAAAAATAGTCTGCCCAATTGTACAAAACGCAAAGATGGAGGGAGCAGTCAACTTGGCCCTAGGAGATGGGAGAAGCATGGTCATTCCATGCATTCATTGTAGGGGGCAGGCAACGCACTGCATGGTTTTACCCGTCCGTATGCTAACCAGTACGAACTGGGCCGAGGCGCAGTCTAGGGGTTGCGGGACAGGACGGATACGTAGCGCACAAGTCAGTACATAGTAGTAGTAGTAGTAGTAGTAGTACCGGTAGTAGTAGGGTCATGCATGGCTCTCGTAGCTGCGTTGCCAGAGGAGATGGGCGTCGGCGGTGGTCACTAGCAAACCACATCCGACGCTGCCGAACTTCTCGGTGGCGATGCAGCTAGTTGGGGGTCTACGTGGTAGAAAGAGATACGACAACGACGCGCTCCGGTAAGGCTGCGGGCGCGCTGGGATATTCAGGCGAGTCAAGCTTGGCAGGGAGCACCACCGACAGACTCACGGAGCGACGTCGGATGGAAGCTGAGGCACTCGACTTTTGAAGGGGAGGGGGGGTGAATGAAAGCCATGCACTTTCATGGACTCAGAAGCGCGCGACCAAGTCAACGCAGGGGGGGTGTTGGGCAAATAGTCTACCGGTAGTCTGACACTCCTCGGAACCCGTTTCTTTTCCCCCTCCAAATCACCTGTCATTGTATTGGATCGAAGCTGTACGAGTGTAGCGTATCCGTACTCGGTAGTCTAGTCTAGATAGACGTCAGAAGGATATGCTGCTCCTGCATCTGGAGCATGCGGTGGGGCGGTGGGCGGAGAATAAAAAATCTTTGAAGCTACAAGTACGGAGTACAAGCAAGCATACGGATACATCCAGCCGGGAAGACTGAAAGCCCGAGCATGTAGCCAGGGGTGGTAAACTTGGCGGTTGATGAGAATGCGAGCTCGGAATGACGCAAGTCGGCAAGCCTCGTCCCGTCCAGGCCATCCGTATCTCGTCCAAGTTTGGTTGGGCTTATCCAACGGGATAGGAGGTGACTTGGGAGGATACCAACCAACCAGACCCCCGACCGTTTGAACAATCGAGCGGTGGTGGTGGTGGTGACGGTAGACCACATGGCCTACTGAACGCTCGCGCTCTGCGGATGCGTCTGTTTGTCGTGGGGTTTACAATTGACTGCTCTGCTATGACAACCAATACCGATTACACAACAAACAGAACATATATTATGGGCATACTACGGATACGACATAACGACATCTGAGACTGTTTGTTGTGGTTGTGCACCGATCCGTCCCCCCCCCCCCACCTCCATTGCACACACCACCCTGCTGCCGGTGCAAACAGTTTCGCAGCAAAGCACACCACAAATGGAGGGACGGCCGTTGCTATGACCTTCCTATTCCTGGGCACGGTGAGGGACCAGGGACGGGGATGCGCTGAGAGCTCCTGAGGTTGCAATGGACGGCCGAGAACTTGACCGCGATATACCTGTAAGGTCCAAGGCCGCCGCCGACGGCTGACCGGGTTCACCTTGAGCCGGGTCCTGCTGAAGTGGCTTGACAGTCGTCATGATATGTGTAGCCTGACGAGCCCCTATGACGATGACTCCCTGC